ACTAAAAGACACACTTCAAAAAGTCACGTCTGTTCATTTGAAAAGTTACAAAATTTAGATTTCCATAACTATTAGTTAACTAATTTGGTATACAGAATTATTTCCTTTCTTCTTCTTCAGATTATTTCTACAATTACTTTTGGCAGAAAAAATGTAGCCGGAGATTGAATGTGTCAGTTTTTAGAGAAGAGTTCGTACGGGATCAATGTTGTACACAGCAATAGAGACTGACTACGTCGCATTAGAGAGGTTCTTGAAAAGGAGAAAATTCTCATGGAAACAGACTCTACACGGGTGCACTCCTCTTTTCTTGGTCTTTTTTATATAGTCATAAAATGACTTGTAAAGTTTTTTTCACTACAATGTTTCAAGAACAAAAACTTTGTATACGACCAACCCATGGGTGCAAACCTTAGGTAATGACTGCACCAATAGTATTTCCAAAAATATACTCACTTGTATAAACATTTTGTTTGAAGTGTCACACCATTACAATTTGAAGGTTATTTTAATTGAAATAATACTTATATGAAAAGTTACAACTTTTCAATATATAGAGTCATATTTTTTTAATATATACAGTTATTTTAAAATAAAACACACAACTTTTAAAATAAAAAGACACAAATTTTAATTGTTTAAAATACATAACCTTTTAATTTCACAACTCTTGGAATTAATCAGGATTGCTATTTTTTAGAATTGTTTGTTGGAAACATACATATATAAATTGGAAACTTTTAAGATGAAAATTATGATTTGAGAAAGCATTGACATAGCTATTTATAGATTTTCAAATTTTTGTTTGGAGAGTCACAGCATTTCAATTTAAAGATTACTTTTATTGAAATAATATTTATATAAAAAGTCACAATTATTCGATATAAAGAATCATGTTTTTCAATATATACAGTTATTTTAAGTAAAAAGACACAAGTTTTAATTGTTGAAAACATATAACTTTTTCATCTAAAATGAAGTTCAAAACGTTTGGAATTAATTATGATGGTTATTACTTACTACATTTATTACATACAATGGATGCATAGATTTTCATAACTGTTTCAAGTTTTATCTAATTCTCCTTTATGTTTCTGAACTCTCCAATCCTGCTGTAGATAATTTTCCCTTGCTCCTTTTTTTCTCCAATCCCAGACTCTATTAAAGTATTGCTATTTCTCTGCAATTGTCCAATTCTTATATTCTGGAAGTTCTGCAATTACAGTAAGCATATTTTTGTTTAGATGGCCTTGGTGCATGCTTAAAATTGAGAAGGTACTTTTCCAGACAGAATATTTGATAATTTTCTGTCCTTTTTTTTTTAATTTTGGAGATTCGATTTTGTCTATGCAATATACCGCTTGTAGCTATTTGAATGTTTCTGTGATCCGATTTCTTTCGGAATGGTTAATAATATGTGAGAGGAGATATCATTTTACAAATTTCATTGTTTCATATTTATTTTCGTAATTTTGTTGTGGTTCGTGACCTTTCGCCAGAATGGTGTTATCTCATAAAGATTAATTTTTCATCAATCATAACCTTTCAATTTAAACAAGTTTACGACCTTTAAAATTAATTATGTTATTAATAGTAGATATACTTATATAAATAGTCACAACTTTTCAATATATAGTCACATTTTTTAATATATCAACAAATTAATATTTTTATAAATTAATAAAAAAATAAAAGAGAAGACGCAATTCACACCATCTCCCACGCATTACTAACCATACAAAAACGATCGGATTGATTATGTTCCTGTAAAAATGATGCAGATATCAAACGGACATATGGCTACCACAGAAAAAAAAAACTTATAGGATTGGAGATGGAACGAAACAAAAAATTGTTTTACATAGAAATCCATTCTAAGATTTTGGATAAAAAGATGGATTGTTCAACGCATCTGCGAAGCGAATGTCCACCGGAATAATATTTGACCGGGTTAGGATGTTTGAGGAAACACAGAGAAGAGAAGTCCAAAGAGAGACAAAAAGTGAATTAGAGTAAAGAGATATGGATGTTGAGGAAATATACAGTATGTTCTATTTATAAGGTTAGCATCTCCAACCCCACTCCATAATTTACTGCAAAATGGAGTGGGAAATGGAGTGACGAAGAAACAAAAAAGTGATTACTCTAAATATGGAGTAATGAGATTTTTGTTTCTTCATTACTCCATTCTCTACTCCATTTTGCAGTAAAAATTATGGAGTGGGGTTGGAGATGCTCTAAAAGGAGATGACTCTTTACGGAAATACGATGGTTTACAAGCGTCGCCTTTGAAAAGGGGTGACTCGTGGATTGAAGACGACGATTGAACAAATGACGTCATAGCCTTATCTTAAACAAAATTGTAGCCATTAGATTAACTAGATCGTTTTTCCGCGCTACGCGCGGATAATTAGTATTAAAAGTTATAATTAATTTTCTTGTCTGAGTATAAAATAATCCATATTTGTATATATGTTGTTTATGACATAGTTTTGTTCTTGCATTTTCATAATAAGTTTTTAAATTATATTTTGAGCTACATACAGAAGTTGTAGTTCTAATTCAATGTATAGAACTTGACTCTTATTTTTATTTTATTTTGATTTTCTTGATAATTTTATAGATTTAGTTAAGTTTTTTAGAATTATGTTTGAACCTAATTTTATGCTTATATTCATTTTTATGTGTATGTAAATTTAGTTTTATAAATGACATTGTTTGAAATTTTTCTTCTTATTACACAAATTGTGTCATTTTATAATTTCAATATCATTTTAAAAATTATACCTATTTAACTTAGTATCTATTGTAAAAATGGTTGTTATCTTAAAAATACCTTAATATCTCAATGAATATTAGTTAATCAGATGTAATTATTAGGCATAAACATGAATTCAATTATATTTTAATTTGTGTGAAAAATGTCAAAATGAAAATTTAGTAAGATATAAACATAGTATTTAATTTTATTTTATTTTAAAAGATTTTTGTTTGGCCAGTTTTCAACTTAATTTAATTTACTATTTGGGCTTAAATTATTGGTATAAATGGATAACTTTAATTTTAAAAATTTTACCACTATCTCACAGAGATAAAGTTTTGCAAAATAGACTAACTATACGAAACAAAAAAATGAAGAGGAGATGTGTGGTTATTGTTCTTTCATGATTTTAAAGTACATCACATAATATAATATTTTTTGAGTTTCTATTTTAAATAATCATAATATTCATAAGTTAAATGTAAATATTAGATTGTTTTTATTTCTGGTAAAAACTAAAGCCTAACTGTAGTTCCAATATTTTAATGTAAATGTATATAGTTTAGGATTTTAGGATAAGGGGCATTTACTTTTTATAAGAACTAAACATAAATGTTTGGAGTAAAATTATTTTTTTTTTATTATTATATCTATAATCATAATAAACGCATTTGTAATTATATTTTTTGCCAATAGAAACACAACTTTTAGATTCTTTTGTTTTTGAAAACCAACCTATATAAGTGAGGTAATGAAGTGTGGTTATTTTATGTGTTTCATGTTGTGTATGATTTTTGTTGTTGTAGTAGAGTAGTAAATTTTATGGGGTTTTTTGTTTTGTTTTTTTAACTAATGTTCATTATCCCAAAATTGGTTGTTATTTGTTGTTTTATTAAATTATTTACTCATATTTGACTAATCTAAAAAAAATTACACTTATGAGCATAAACCGTTTATATATATATATATATATATATATATATATATATTTCAATTGACTTTAAACTATTAAATTGGTAGAAAGTTTAAAATATGTTTGCATTTATTCATTGTCTTATATCTAACAAATTGAAAATCATATTTAGAATGATAAGTAAGATGAGTAAAAACTAACAAAACCTGGTTATGATTTAAATACATTTTGTTATATTTTTGGTTTTGTAAAAAAATAATATATATATATATTTTAGTTTTGTATAAAACAATTGTAAAATTTAAAACTGATTTAAACTTTGTTTTGACTTTAAAATTATTGAGTTCTAATATCAAATTGAACAGTTTCATAACAGAAATAAAATTGTATTAACAATTGATCCAAACGTCAAAATAATATCATTGTCCAGACCAGACCAAACTAAAGAACAAACTTTTTAAGCAAACTATTACCAAAACTTAATATTTAAATCATATAAACCAACAGTGACACTCTCAAAGTTAAGAATTTAGGGCTTTTTTTAAAGACTTTTTTTCTTCTAAAGATCTTGGTCTTTTCTTTTATGTTGGTTTACAGTTGTAATGATTCTTTGTCATAATAGCTCCAGTGACTGGATTAATATGTAATTTTGGAGCTGAATGAGATTAATAGATCTGAGGATGTTGCAAGCAAAAAAATCTGAGACATACCCTAGTTTGCAGGCTCTGTACTGAGAACATCATTCAAGAAGGAAAATCATGAATGAAAGCACATTACGAAGATCATATTTAATATTTTAGCCAAAAAGACTAAATAATAAAAATGGTGATTGATTGTTTTGTACAATTTATGGTTCAAATTGGTGATCATGTTGAAAGAAAAAAAATTATGGTGGATTCTTTGTTTCTGTATTTTATATCCGTTAGGTTGAAATAAAATATTTTAAAAAGTACAGATATTTTATAATTGTATTACGGTAAAAGGAGTTGAGCAAAATTAAAGATTAAGGATAATAGTTAAAACTTTTTAGATTAGAGTGTATTCAAAGAAAGGCCCGGATATAAACTTGGTGAAGAGTATATTCAGGAATAAATAAAAAACCTTAATGACATGGGACTCCTTGTGACAGAACAAAGATCGTAGTTGAACACTCAAGCGTAAGCCCTACAATGTGAAGAAACTCTAGAATTCTTCTTCAAGTTCCAACTCGATTGTCCCCTCCACTTGAGACTTCTTTTTTTCTTAAGAGTTTCTTAGACTTCAGTATTATTTCTCTGAACAGGCACCAAATATATTGACCATAGCCTCTAGTTACAATGTAGGGAATCATGATTTAGCTGCCACACATTAAAAATGAAACAAATCATTAATTCCATAAGCACTGCAATATGTAAAACACGTAGACATTACAGACCTACTTTACCTCTTCTTCCTAACTTCCAGGCATCTAAGCATACTGGTATCAACCCTTTTCCCATAATCAGCTGAACGATCTCAGCAACAACTCCCTGCAGAAACACAAAGGAAGTTAACTGATGGAGCAAAAAAAAAAACAAATGATTCTACTATCAATTGAAAACCATGTTACCTTGTCAGACGAAAGTGTTTCCTCCGAGGACATGCCTTGCAACAATCGAATCTGAGATAACAACATAAGCTTCTCGAACAAACTCAAGTTTATACCCTCCTCCATGCTTTAGATGAAAATATAACGGAAGCAAATAAATTTGGTAGCTTCAACTAAGCGAAAACAACTCCCAGTGTCTTTGATAATTTTGCACCACAGATAATTACGGGCTCTTTTGCCGCTGTTTAATAAGAAATTATTAAGGTACACAACACCGCAGTCTGACGTATACTTTTAGGATTAGTATGGTTCTTACCCTTTTGCATTAACGTTCCCACATTTTGGGCACATCAACCAGCTAGAGTACCACACAACGTTATGAATGGTAGCTAGGCAGTTAAGAAGGCTGTCTATAATTAGGAAATAGGAAGCATATATGTACTTATATGTAGTTATGGTATTAAATCTAATTACTAACTACCTGAGCTGGTTCCTGTTTCAAGAAGGCAAAGATCTCAAGAATGGTTAGCGTCTCGGCTTTTGTCACCTCAGACACATTGACCATAACAGCAACATCTTGGTTTTGAGCCGGCCTAAAACATATTTTGAGTCAGATAAGAGTTCTCAACTACAAATTAAAATGAGCGAAGAATACAGATCATGATACATACTCAATTAAGGAGTGGCCTGAGAATCTAAAGTTATATACTTCACAACTATTAAGTGAGAAATCGTGGAGGATAACAAATGAGTTACAAAGTAAGAAAAAAGGTACCTTCTATACGTTTTGTATTGACTATTGTAACTAACCGAACGGATTGAGTTTGTAGGCTATTATAAAACTCATTGGCAGCCTGATCCACAGGTAAAAATTCAGGACATGGCCACTGTAAATGTTCATTGAAAGCTTATTAAAACTTAGAAGAGAATAAAGATGAAAGTCAATTGTTAAATAGTTTGGAGGTGCGTACTCTTTAGGCTGAAGGTGCACCAAATCTCCTTCAAACGATTTCTACAACAAAAAAAAATAGTTCATAAGAGTATATAAACCTTCCATAGAGTCACCTCTGCGATCAGAGTTGGCTTCAAAAAGGAACACAAATCTGTCAAACTCAAACACCAGGCGGTTCTCTTCAAGCTAACAGAGTTGTGAATGAAATTGGCAATAAGGTTGTGGTTGAGAACACATTATATATACATTTGCTTTTGGTTGCAAAGAAATTGAGCTGTAGGAGGTTACAGATGAACACATATAATGCACAACCCTCTGATAGAATAGTTTCAGACATAAAATTCGAATTTTACAGAGCCCAATAGTCAACGTATAAAGATGAGTTCAAACCTGTTGAACAATAAGAAGAGCTCCAGCCCAATTAATAAGCCAACTTTCGTTGTGTTTCTGGCTTCCTAGTAAGTAAATTTAATCGAAACCATAGATCAGACTGACCCAAACCAGCAATATCGTCACTGAAGAAGATAGACATGGGGGCTTGCCGATTGAGTTAGACTCGATAAACTGATTTCCGTGACTGAAGTGAAGAGGAGAACGAAGAAGTAGATGAGGGATATATATAGTGTGGACTTGGTGGGATGAAAATCGATTCATGGCGTTAGGATTTTTGCATTTAATTGACTTTTATGAGATTTAACATGTTGAAAGTATCCGTTCAAAAGGAGAAGGGGAAGCGGTACATATGAAGGTGGTGATTAGATAAAATTGAAGACGACGATGGATAATATTTTACAGGTCTCAGGTTTTATATAGATAACGGGCTCTATTGTTGGGCTAAAAAGAAAGACATGTAACAAAATAATACTAAGGGCCCAGGTTTTATTTTATGTCGATAAAACAAAGCCATCATTAAATGACGTGGAGAAATACTTCATTCCTATTGGTTGAATTTCCTGTCCGATGTGGATGCAGTAAGAGTGCTTCATTTGCTGCTTTTAATTATAGTAGATTCCCCAAGGTAAATTGCACCTTTAGATTTTAATTTCTTTTTCCTATAATAAAAAGATGATATCATTGGTTAGAAAAATACAACTTTAAAATATTAAAAATATGTAACTTTTCAACTTCACAACTCTTTGAATTAATTAGAATAAATGAAAACATAATTTTTAAAATGAAAAGACACAACTTTTAAATATTTAAAATAGTAACTTTTCAACTTCACAACCTTTGGAATTAATTAGGATTCCTATTATTAGTAGATATATATAAAACTCAGAGAGTTATTTGTTGTCTGTGCATCATCGAGTTTAACAGGCAATGCTCGCGTCTCCCTCTCTCTCTCTCTCTGTCTATTTATGGTTGGATCCTCTATCTGAAACTGGAAAGCGGTTGTGTATCAGTGATCTGAAAGCTTATTTTGAATCCTTTTCTGTTTTTGTGAGTTTTTGTTCTTCTTCTTCTTGTGAAAGTGTACGATTATTGATTTCTTTGATCTCAATCATTGAATATTTCATCTTGTTCTGTTTTTTTCGTTAGTTTGTTTCTGCATGGATGTGATCTAAATATTTTCCTCTGTTTGAATTGATCTCCGTCTTATTTTCCCGGGAAAATGATGATCGTTTCTTCCGCGTAGGATCAGCGTTACGTTTTTAGGATAATGATTCGTGCAAAACGTGTCCTTTTTGTTGCTTGCTTTGTGCTTTAAAAGTGGTTTCAGGAAATGTGTATCATGGCATTGGCACTTGTGGTATCTTAAATGACTACAAGCTTGGATTCTTTTTGTATTTTTGAGGAATTTATTTGGCTGAAAGCAAAAAGTAGTTTTCCTTTTTTTTTTTGTGTGTTCTTCGTAGGTGGTAGCTTTGTATTCCTTACAGGGCCTTTTCATGTGAATTTTGAAATGTACATTTTGTTTATGTAGGGAATATGGCTTCAAAACTTGCTGTTGATGCGATAGAGACATCCACAAAGGTCCATTTCTCAGGGTTTCATTTAGATTCAGTTAGATCAGACCATACAGCTGACGAAGTAGAACAACATGGACAGCCTTTTGTAATCGGTGAGACATGCTTTGAAGATAAGTTAGGATCAGAAAATGTTAATAGGTTGTTGATTTCTTTTTGTCTTGTTTTCAGGAGTTGCTGGAGGAGCAGCATCTGGGAAAACAACTGTCTGCGATATGATTATGCAGCAACTACATGACCAGAGAGCCGTTGTTGTTAATCAGGTGATTCTTGTGCTGATAAGTGTTCACAAGTCATATATATACAAAGCATTGAGGTTGATCTTTGTTTTCAGGATTCTTTCTACCATAATGTAAATGAAGAGGAGCTTAAAAGAGTTTACGATTACAATTTTGATCATCCTGGTTAGCATCTCTCTCTCAAAACTGAAATAAAAACCATAATGGATCCTTAATTAATTTATTACAGACTCTTCTGTGTATTATGTGGCGTATGCTTGCTTGTAAATATGAAATGTGCTCCCTGTCTTGTAGACGCTTTCGATACGGAGCAACTATTGTGTTCCATGGAGAAGTTAAGAAAAGGGCATGCAGTAGATATCCCTAACTACGACTTCAAAAGTTACAAAAACAACGTCTTTCCACCAAGAAGAGTAAGGAGCTTCTACTTTATTTAACGTTTGAAGTTTTGCTTCTCTTTTCTGAAGACTCAACTCATGATGAAATGAAACGATTAGCACCGTATAGCATTTTCTCATATCTCTCTGTTTATAATGTTATATTTGGCAGGTGAATCCTTCTGATGTTATAATTCTTGAAGGGATACTCATTTTCCATGACTCTCGTGTACGAGATTTGATGAACATGAAGATCTTTGTAGATGCAGGTCTTGTGCATTACATGTAGCAAGTGTATTGCTAATGAATTGATTTCTTATTCTAACATCATGACATATGGTGTTGTTATCAATGCAGATGCCGACGTGCGTTTAGCGAGAAGGATTAAACGCGATACTGTTGAGAAAGGCAGAGATATAGCGACTGTTCTTGACCAGGTCAGAACCTTACTTCAAATGTTTGAGGTTTCCTGGCTGCATACAACTCTTGTTTTGAACTATTTCTTTGTTTGTAACACTACAGTACTCAAAGTTTGTGAAGCCAGCATTTGAGGATTTCATACTCCCAACAAAGAAGTACGCAGATATAATAATTCCACGTGGCGGTGATAATCATGTTGCTATTGATTTGATTGTGCAACACATTCGCACTAAGCTTGGTCAACATGATCTCTGCAAAATATATCCTAATCTTTACGTCATTCAATCAACTTTTCAGGTTCTTACTTTCTTCCTTTTTTATCCTGTCAAATGACACAAAAAGGCTGATTCCTTTAGCCGTTGATTGCAGATACGTGGGATGCACACTCTAATCAGAGACTCCAAAACAACAAAGCATGACTTCATCTTCTACTCGGATCGATTGATTCGTTTGGTAGGGTGTAAAACTAGAGTTATGTTATTTTACCATGTCCGTTATAATTAATGATGTTTTCATGCCAGGTTGTTGAGCACGGCCTCGGGCACCTTCCTTTTACAGAAAAGCAAGTGATCACTCCCACAGGCAATCTCTAATGAAACATTTCTAATGGAAAACATATTATCTTGTGATTATAGTCTGATTGTTTTCGTGTAAACTTTAGGATCTGTGTATTCGGGTGTGGACTTCTGTAAGAGGCTGTGTGGTGTCTCAGTTATCAGAAGGTAAAAAGAAACCAGCACAAATATAAATAATTAAATGATTGAAACTCTTTTACCAAATATGAAACAGCGGTGAGAGTATGGAGAATGCTCTGAGAGCATGTTGCAAAGGCATCAAGCTTGGGAAGATTCTGATTCACAGAGAAGGCGACAACGATCAGCAGGTTTGTGTTCATTGGCCTCTTTATCAATCAATTATCCTTAAATAATATGTGTGAACAAATTGGGAAACGAACAGCTTAGATACGTGAAGCTACCCTCAGACATTTCGGAAAGGCACGTGCTTTTGCTGGACCCTATCCTCGGGACAGGTATGATTTGTTCTGCTCTTAACTACCTCTGCATAAGACAAGATAGGACAAGAGCATGTGTATTGTTTGCGTGTGGGCAGGAAACTCGGCGGTGCAAGCGATAAGACTGCTGATAAGTAAAGGAGTACCTGAATCCAACATCATATTTCTCAATCTCATATCTGTAAGTTGCCAAAACATGAACCCCAAAAACCAACTTTGTCTTCTCTTGTCTCCATAGCTTAAGCAGAGTTACAATGTGTTGTGTGTTCAGGCACCGCAAGGAGTAAATGTGGTGTGCAAAAGGTTTCCGAGGATAAAGATTGTGACATCTGAGATAGAGATGGGTTTAAACGACAAGTTCAGAGTTGTACCTGGCATGGGCGAGTTTGGAGACCGCTATTTTGGCACTGATGACGAGTGAGTNCAAGGAGTAAATGTGGTGTGCAAAAGGTTTCCGAGGATAAAGATTGTGACATCTGAGATAGAGATGGGTTTAAACGACAAGTTCAGAGTTGTACCTGGCATGGGCGAGTTTGGAGACCGCTATTTTGGCACTGATGACGAGTGAGTGAGTGAGAGAGAGCTTGTTTACTCAAGTTGAAATTTTGGGAACTCATTGTTGATTTTTTGGTTTACGGATTTTATAATGGGATTCACACATATGGTAATACCGGATCAAAAATTTCAAAATGAAGAAAGCCTCTATGTTGGTTAGAGGGTCTTGTGGAACTCCTATTAAAATTTCAAAATTGTCTTTGTAAGAAACAGAGGATTCAAACAGAGTTAAATGTTAAAATAATTATGTTGTATCCTTTCATTGATATAGTTGTTGAGTATAAATAACGTTGGTTGCAGACTGAAAGTGCAACTGCATGGAACCTGCAGATGAGTCCAATGTACAACTTATCCCAGCAAGGTCAGCAGCTAGGTCATTTTATCCGTTAATTTTATTTTTTATTATTTGTTTCGATTCGATTTGAAAATCTGGATATCCGTAAGCTATCGAAACAAAGCAAATATTAAAATTCAATAAAAATGAAACAAATCATAAATATTAAAAATTTAGAATTAGATATCCGATCCGCTCTGACTTTTATACAAATATATATATATATATATATATATATATATATATATATATAATTAAATATAAGTTTAAATGCATAATTTTATATAATTATTATTTCAACATATCGTTTTATTAATTTTATTTATATTTATACAATCACTTATAAATGTACTAAACTAAGAATATCAAATCTTTATGAAAATTACATTTTTTTAAAATAAAAATTATGTTTTATTAAAAATATGGTTAATTATATAGATTTATGGAACATATAGTTCACTAAGTTTTATTTTATAATATGTAAAAGATAGTTATGAAAAAAAATTTATGTTCAATAATTTGTATTATTTTCTTAGATTTATTTATTTAAACAAAAATTTTATTTTAAATTATGTAAAAGATAGTTTAGAAAAAAAATGTATTATTTTCTTAAATTTACTTGTTTTAAATAAAGTGCATGAGATATCTGCAAATTTTGATAATTTTCTGAATATTCAGAAAGCCGAAAATCCGTATTTCTCTAAAGCAAAAACAAATCGAAAATCAAATATTAACTAAAATACACAGCAAGTCGCAAAATACTAAAAGTTATTGTGTTATTGGATCCGTGCCCACCCTTGTTAGGAATAAATTAAATTTTGGTTAAACTAGTTACATATTCCCCGCGTAAGCTTGGGGCCGGGATCATTATGTTTGCGTGTATTTTTTTCGATTGTTGGTTTAGTGGATTCTTCTAATGACACCAATTAATAATGAAATGGAAAATTTCATGTTTTTATATCGTATGTCAAAACTTGATATAATTCTATATTTATAGTATTTATATTTGTATTAAACGATTTATCAATATGAAAATAACCTTAATAAAGTTAATATTCATTGTTTAAGTTTCATTAGATAGGTTTTTATATATGGTTTTTTGTAAGTTTGGGTTTTGTTCATAAATGATGTGGCATTTTTATCTACGGAGTCATCGACTGTGGGAATTCATTCGCCGAAATATGGAGTCGGTGGTGAGAAATGTTTTCAATGAAATTATAGTAGTTATTAAAATGTAAGAGAAATTACATATTCATTTAATAAATAACTTACTTAAATTTTGTTGTTTATTTTATTTTATTTCACATACAATTTTTTTTGAAAAATATTAGGAATGTGTTAAATGTTATTTATATGCGAAGTAAGGTTTATAGGAATAGTTNAATGAAATTATAGTAGTTATTAAAATGTAAGAGAAATTACATATTCATTTAATAAATAACTTACTTAAATTTTGTTGTTTATTTTATTTTATTTCACATACAATTTTTTTTGAAAAATATTAGGAATGTGTTAAATGTTATTTATATGCGAAGTAAGGTTTATAGGAATAGTTAGGCTATAATATAGTTTTTAGTGTGTTAAAGTAGGTGTGTGTGTTTTTTTTGCTGTAAATAGTTTTTATATCGTAGATCAAAACTTGATATAATTCTATATTTATAGTATTTTATTTGTATTAAACGATTTATCAATTTGAAAATAACCTTAATTAAGTTAATATTCGTTGTTTAAGTTTCATTAGATAGGCTTTTATATATGGATTTTTGTAAGTTTGAGTTTTGTTCATAAATGATGTGGCATTTTTATCTACGGCGTCATCGACTGTGGGAATCCATTCGTCGGAGTCTGGAATCGGTGGTGAGGAATGTTTTCAATGAAATTATAGTAGTTATTAAAATGTAAGAGAAATTATATTCATTTAATAAATAAAGAAAATAATTAATTTTTGTTGTTTTATTTTATTTTATCTCACATAAATTTTTTTTTTGAAAATATATATTAGGAAATATGTGCAGTGATTTAACTTTTTGACTCCTAATCTATATTATTCAACCCTCATTAAGTCATCCACGTATGCACCCGCGTGGAATTCACTTTTTGTTTTGTTTTTTTTTTGTCTGTTTGTTTTTGGATTTATTTTTTATTATTTTTGGGTTGAGCTATATTATAATAGGATAGTTTTAAGGTTCTTTAAGCCATCCACGTAGACAACCACGTGAGACTTGTTTTTTTTTTTTTGTTTTATTGTTCGTTTTGGATTCATTTTTAACTATTTTGGGTTTGAACTTGTTAAGGTTTAGGGTTTATACAACTATTTTGATCTTTAAAACAATAAGCCCAAAAAAACATAAGAACCTTATAAACAAAAAGCCCATATGATAATAACCAAAATAAAAAAATCAAAAATACATGATATCTGCGTGGTTTGAGCCAACAATCTTGCATACTTAATTAGACACTTTATACCACTTGGCTAAAGTGTATTTCATTGTTTGTGACCATCTTACCAAGACTATGTATGTTTAAAAAATATCTACGGGACCCACAAAACTACTAACTATGTTCTATTTTTATGATGATGACATTAATTGGTTTATGCATGAGAGCAGTGGGAATTGAACCCATGCCCTTACAGACCAAACATGGGGCCTTAGACCACTTGGTTAAACTGATATTCTTGTTTGTAGCCATTTTAAAAAAATTACTAGATTTTGACCCGCGCTTTAAAAGAGCGGGTATATTTTTACCATTTTGATAAAATTTATTTAAGTTAATTATTCAAACACAAAAATTTTAAAATTTATTTTATTAATATTTAAAAAAGTTTTGGTATAATGTTTAATTTTCACGTAATGTTTCCATATCCGACCCAGATCCATAGTTGAACCAGTATATCCGGAAATTTTTATATAATCCAGTTAAGATTTAATTAAAAAATTTACTAATTAAAAATTTAAGCCAGCCCGGTATATATCTTAAAACCCGCTATTAACCTGTATTATGATATCCGTTGATCCGTTAAATAACCCCATAAAAACTGATAATATATTTTTAAACTTTTTTTAAATAAGTCATATTTTTAATATTAAAGAAAATTGATTTTTTGTAATTTCTTTAATAAAAACTTTCTTGTCATTTGAAAAAAATGAAACAATGGCAATAGAAAAAAAAAACACAATTTATTCATATAAAAATATTAGTTTCTTTTCATTATTAATAACCTATGATAAGTTTACATTTTTACTCATTTTATATCTAAAATTTAGTTTTTAAAACAAATTGAATTGACATATCAATATTATGGATAAAATGAAACAGTAAATAATAATTTATAATTTTTGATCGCTAAATAATATGATGCACGGAAATATGATATTAAAATTAAATAGAAAATCATAATTTTCATAAAAGGAAAATTATTATTAATCACAAAAATAGGAAATATTATCAGTTACCATAAATATAGGAGATATTAAATTGTTTAATTAATTAAGATTCTAAAAATAAATAGTGGTATTATCTTATAAATATGATAAAAATCTAGGGGTATAATCCAAAATTTTAACAATAGGATCATGCTTTAATAGTATAGATCTATTTTAATATAAAAATGTGGGACCCACAATCTGCCTATGTGGACATCTATTTTTTTTTTTCTTTTGACAACGAACGGCTGATCTATTACTCAAGCTTGAGGTGGTCTGGAAATCCAGACCGGAATAGAACAACCAATGAACATGAGTTCCCGATAAAAGGATCGGGCAGTCTTAGCTAGGTGATCGGACACAACATTTAAAGATCGAGGTACATAAGAAATCTTAAAATCTGGGAAGCAAATCCTTAGCGTCGAGATCCTCTCTAGTTCCGTTGAAAAGCTTGGCCATCCATGGGGATCCTTGAGCATTGCTAACAATTCCTTGCAGTCCGTCCCAAAGCTCTGACATGACGAATGTTGAAGCATGTTCTCCATTGCCTACCGCAGCGCTTCCAGCTTCGAATGCAACGCCGACTCCATTCTACTCACATTACGCATCCCCATTAATTGGCTGTCACCCATGCTATCCTTCCAGTCCCAACCACAGCTGGAAAATTGATCTATAGAGGTCCAAGAACCATCTATCATGCAAATATCACATAGGCTTATAGCCTGCGGGTCTGTATTACCATCCTCTTGTGTAGCCTCAACCCCCTGCTCATTGGCTTGGAACCAGGCAAGACACTCGCTCTCTGCATACCGGGCCAATTCCAACGGGTCTCTATCTATTCCTCTGAACAACTTGTCATTCCGAGCCTTCCAAATGTACCATATTAGCCAAGGATAAGGATCCTTGTCTAGTTCTGGCCCACAGATGGCTTTCTTCCGCCAGAATAGATAATCCATATTCGCATAGGTGCTTTCCAAGGGAAACAAAGCCGAGCTGGAAGGTATAGATGATAAGGCCCATACCTGTAAAGCCGGTGGGAATTGGAAAATTGCATGTGCAATTGTTTCATCCGGTTCTCCGCACCGTGGGCAGAAGTTATCGCATCTCATATGTCTATGATTCAAAGCACTCGTAACAGTCACCTGTCCCAAAATGATCTGCCACATAAGATGACACATCTTCGGGGGTGCCTTAACCTTCCAAACTTGTGCTTGAAGCCTTTTAAAGCTAGGTTCATCTACCAAATTGTCCTCCTCCTTCATCAGTACATTACGAGCTACCCAATAGCCGGACTTGACTGTGTATTGCCCACTCCTAGTGTAACTCCAGCAGAATGTATCTCTACGATGGGTTGAACTGATTGCCATACTCCTTATGAGAGGTATATCATCAGTGTCAACATATAATGCTAGCCGATCCAGGTCCCAAGACTTTGTTTCTTGATTGATAAGATCGCTCACTCTCATATTTGGATTCAGCACCGGAGCTGATGCATGCGCTGGTCTTGTTGGGATTGTGGGAATCCATGGATCCTCCCATACCTTAACTTCATACCCTGAATGGATTTTCTGTCTAATTCCCAATAGCAATAACTCCCGTGCAGCCGAGATGCTTGTCCACACATACGTTGGACTACTGACAGTGTGCTTTCGCAAAGGCGAACTTTGTCTATAATATCTCCCTCTCATAACACGAGCAACCAGTGAATCCGGATTTTGTGCCAACCTCCATAACTGCTTTCCTAGTAATGCCAGGTTAAACTCATGTATCATCCTGAATCCAATTCCACCTTCCTCCTTGGGCTTACACAACTTATCCCATGTTGTCCAATGTAGGCCTCTCTTTGGTGGGTTTGAGCTCCACCAAAATTGTGCAATGGCATTAGCCAAGGCGTCACATATCTCCAATGGGAGCAAGAAACAAGACATAACATATGTTGGAAGAGCCAACAAGATTGACTTGATCATAACTTCTTTTCCTCCTTTGGACAACCATCTACCCGTCCATCCATTCACTATGTTCCGAAGTTTGTCTTTTAAGAAAGCAAACAGCTTGCATTTCGAGCCACTGATGTCCTCTGGTATCCCTAGGTAGGTTCCCATTCCTGTGTCATTCTGTATCCCAAGTGTGTCTTTGATCTCATGCCTTACCTCTTGACCGATCCTCTTACCAAAGAGTAAAGAAGACTTGTCAAAATTGATGCACTGTCCCGAGGCTTTTCCATATTTTGTAACCACTTTCATCACTTCTTCACATTCACGGGGCTCCGCCTTACAGAAAAACAGGCTATCATCAGCAAATAGCAGGTGGGACACCGAAGGACACGCACGCGTGATGCGCATCCCCGTTATCTTTCCCTGATTCTCTGCGTGATTAAGAAGGCTAACGAGCGCTTTCGTGCATAGAATAAAGATGAAAGGGGACAAAGGATTCCCCTGACGGAGACCTCTCTCCGGGACAATATTTCCTCGTGGCTGTCCATTCATGAGTACCTTATACTTTACTGTCGTTATGCAACGCATAATCCAAGTAATCCAGATTTCAGAGAAACCCATCTTCCTCATGGTGGCTTCAATGAAAGACCATTCCATACGATCATATGCCTTACTCATGTCTGTCTTGATAGCCATTCTCTTACTGCGCCCACTTGGTTTTGTTCTTAAGGCGTGAAATAATTCCTGGGCAATCATTATGTTGTCTGATATCTGTCTTCCAGCAACAAAGGCTGACTGGGTTTCAGAAATCCTATCGGGAAGAACCTTTTTCAGTCTTTGGCATAAAACCTTTGATATAATCTTGTAACAAACATTACAAAGACTGATGGGTCGCAGTTGACTCATCTGATTTGGCTTTTCCACTTTTGGGATAAGGCATATATTAGTGTCAGTGAGCCATGTCGGAATAGTGCCTTGAAATAAGAATTCATTAACCATACGAGTTAAATCATCCTTAACGATATCCTAAAAATTTTGATAGAACAAAGCTGTCATTCCGTCAGGTCCAGGAGCTTTCTCAGGATGCATAGCAAACAAGGCTAATTTAACCTCCCATTCTGTGAATGGAGCTATGAGCCTCTCATTGTCTGCAGGTGTAATTGTAGTGGTTACTTCTGAAAGTGCGTCCTCAATATCCTCAGGGTTTGATGATTGAAAGATTTGTCGAAAATAACTGGTAGCAATGGCTACCAGGCCTTCCTCATCCTCCACTATGTTCCCCTCTGCATCTAAAAGTTGGGTTATCATGTTCCTCGCTCTTCGCTGCTTCGTTAAAGCATGAAAAAATTTTGTGTTTTGATCTCCCTCCCGTAACCAGAACACCCTACACTTCTGCTTCCAGAATAATTCATTCGCCTTAAGAGCATCAGACAATTCTTTTAGAGCCTCCGTTATCTCCTCCGTAGTGGCATCATCATTAGAGGATAACCGATCCACCTTTTCCTTTAACTCCTCTACACTTTTCTCTGAATTCAGATTATGTTGTCTTTTCCAATCACATAACGCCCGCCTGCAGCTTATAATGTGCTCCATAATACTTGCCCCTGGTGGTAAATCTGGTGATTTCCATCCTTCAAGTATAATCTGCCTGAGTTCCTCATTCTGAAGCCAACGTTTATCAAATTTAAAGTTTTTCGATCTTCGTGACTTCTTTTTCAGAATGTCAGCCAGGATTGGACGATGATCCGAACCCCAGAACCTCAGATACTGAACTTTCGAATGAGGAAATTTCTCATGCCAGTTCTCATTATAAAGAGATCTTAAGGAGCCTTTAAACTGTATCATTATAATATAGATTTCTTAACACTTTCACTTGTCTGACTTTATTCTCATTTGGGCTTGGGCTTTACTTCTTTTGTCTCTCTTTCCCTTTCCTTGTTGACCCTTTTTTTTTTTTTTTTGTCACCTGCTCATCTTTACAAAGACTCGAGATTTACGATTGGAGCCATGGTCACGAAGAGGTTGGGAGGTATGTGGTCAATGCACCTTCTTTGAAGTACTTGAAGATTATAGGGTTTCCTCGTCTTCGGTTTACTCTGGTTGAGATCGCACCAGAGTTAGTAGAGGCAAGTGTTATTGATCTCTCTGAGGTAGTCGACAAGAAGCTTATGCGGTCTCTTGCTTCAGTCAAACGTCTTTCTTTAGCTTTATTTCCATCGGACATTACGTTTCCGAATACAGATCTTTATTTGTCTTTATTACCTCCAGCAGAAATGATTACATTTCCTAGTACTGTCTTCCATCAGTTAGTACATTTGGAGCTAAGTACAGATAAAGCAGATTGGTGGAATCTACTTACACGCATGATCAATACGTCTCCAAGATTGCAAGTCCTAAAGCTTGTCGGTGAATGGTATTACGGAAAAGTTCGTGTAAGTTGTAAAGAATGGAATCAACCGAATAAGAACGTTCTTGAATGTTTGGAGACATTTCTGTGGAACACCTACAAAGAGCAACATGAAGAAGAAGAGAAAGAAGTTGCCAAATACATCCTCAGAAACGCAATTCGATTGAAGAAAGCAAATATCTGCATTAAAGGGTTTAACTCAGACGAGAGACTAGAGTTGCTTAATGAGCTGGAAAGTGTGGTCAAGGCTTCAAATTCACTATGCGAGCTGCTTTTGTATTAATGTCTGTTTTATTTGGTGTAAATACTTAATTCCGACAAGATCTCAAGCTGGCTTATTTTTTGTTTGTTTGTGACACTACATAAAGAACATTTTGGGAAGAAGATCCCCAAGTACTATTAATAATAGAGAAAATTCCTAAAATAGTATATAGAAAAATTGTTATATGACTAGAATAACATATGGAGATTTTCGGCATATGCAAGGAATACCATTCGGAATAGATCTCGTATCATCTTTGTTATGTTTCTTGTAGTTTGTAATATCATAGTTAACAAGAAAAAAAAAAAGACTAGAATAACATACATCTTCTGAAAATTATTAGAATATTTTAAGTCCTTAGTAAATTTATAATAAAGACTATTGATTAGTTTTTTTAATAGAAATTATTTAAAATGATTAAAATTATTAACAAATTCATGCCACTAATAATTGTGATATCAATTAAGTGCGTTTAAAAACATATTTTTTCTTCCAAAATCTTCTTTTCCACAAACTTTTGAATCGTCTTATGCGGTATGTTTTGACTCTTCATTTTGAGTTTTTCGAATTTTTGGTTAGGTTTTATTTATGTTGTGGCTGAGTTAGTTTTCTGTTGTGATTGATTTATATATGCAGTTGTGGCTGATTTACTTCCTACCAATCTCCAAAAATATAGCTAGAAACAATTTACGTTTCAAGTAGAAAAGGTAAATATATTCCAAAAAACACCTAAATTGACAATTTTAGGGTGTATTCATTAAAGTTTGTTGAATATATGATGGACAATGCTTACTTTGTTGGAAAAATAAGATTTTGTTGGTGGGTTATGATGAAAATTAATTATTTGATGAAGGGCCACATAACAAGAAGAACAGATGATTGAGGTATGTCTCTTACTAGGGGTGGGCACGGATCGGATATCCGGGTTTTTTAAGATATTTGTGATTTGCTTCGAATGTTACGAATATCTAATTTTGGTATTTGCTTTGCTTCGAAAAAATACGGATATCCGGAAAAACGGATATCCGGAAAATAAATAGATATTTACGGATATTTACGAATATTTACGGATATCTCATCCATTTTGATTAATACAAATAATCTTAAGATTTTGATACAAAATTGCTTTGTAAAAATATGTTTTATAAAATAAAAATTAAAAGAACTAGTGAATTTACATATTTTGTAATTTTTTTAAGTTTAAGTTACAATTATTATAACACACAATTTAAGAAAAAAATATAATTGTCATATTTTTTCTCTCTCTTATATGTAATACTTTTATATAAGTAATAATGTGAATAGAATTGTTTAAAATCATGTGCTAAAATAATAATTATATAATTTTATACATTTAAAATTTTAAATATAATCAAGATATACATATATTTATATATTTCCGGATCGGATCGGATATCCGCTTCCCAAAATTTTAATATTTGTGATTTGCTTCGATTTTAACGGATATTGAATTTTAATATTTGATTTGATTCGAAAGTTTACGGATATCCGGAATTTTCGGATCGAATCGAAACGAATAACAAATCGAATCAAATATAACGGATAAAATGCCCACCCCTATCTCTTACTCTCTTTCAGATTTTGTATTGTTTGTGATTTGATATCTAGATTTGATAATACAATTTTTTGTCTCAGACCTGAGTGACATAGAAGCTTGAACGAGAAGACAAGAAAGGAGACAAAGAGATGTGATGGATTCAACAGAAAAAAACACAGAGGAGTTCAATGAAGTTTGGAGACATGGAGGAGTTATCACCGGAGTGGTGCAGAAAACCTGTATTGTGTGTTTTCTCTCTAAAAAACATAACTCAGCCGTGTATTTTGTATTTAACTTATGCTATATTTACACAACTCAGTCGTGTCGTTTATATATCTCAGATGTGTCATTTATATAATTCTGCCATATCTCAAACATATTCTAAAATCAGAAAATTTTATGTAACTTTGTTTTACATAATTCATTCGTGCTGTTTATATAACCCATCATACCTCAAACATATCCTAAAATAAAAACTTATATTGAAGCTCCTCTTATAAATATCAAGTAAATAAATTAACTGAATGTATATACTTTCTTGAATCTTCAAGTTGAGACTCTAACTTGATCATGAGATATATATTCTCTTACAGTTACTTACTTACATGACTCTAACTTTCTTTTCTTAAATCTAAAACTCAAGCCTAAAATATAAAATTATAAAGTTAAAGTTATAAAATTTATAAAGTTTATCTTTTGAACATGAAATTTAATATTTTTATTATTTAAAGTTTAAAATTTAAGTTTATAGTTAAACTCAAATTTTCATCATTTAAAAAAAATTAATATCAGATTCTTAAATTGTAAATCTTGATTTAAACTCTTAACTACATTCTTTAAATTTCAACAACTAAATATAACTAAAATTACAATTTTTTTTTTCATGACCATTGATTGATTTTAATCTAAGGATTCAATATTATCTTTTTATTTATCCTTACCCTTTTTTCTCATTGGTTAATCTTTCTTTGTCAAAGATCACAATTTGTGGCTATTGATTTAATAAAATCTAAATGTTAAAAATCATTCTCTCCTTTTTTTACACAACTGATGGGACTTAGCCTCTTCATCTCTCTCTTTGAATCTTTCTTCTTCTGCACGACACGACGAATCTGATGAGAGAAGGATCATCAAGATGTCGGAGAACCATACATGACACTGGAGGATATGAAGCTTTTCTTTAACCGACCACCATCTAAAACGACGACAACAACAATAGATCTGTTTCAGATTTTTGATTTTTTAGATCTATGTTGTTTATGCGAGTAATATGTCTCTTGATTACTAATCTATAGAGTCATCCTTTTAGTTTCTCTTTCGATTTCTAAATTTAATTTAAGCTTGGATGTTGAATCTTGAGTCAGCTAGAAGCTTTTTTAGTTGACTTGGTTATAACAAAGCCGTATTGTAACCATAACTCAGTTTTTGATTATAACGAAACCGTATTGTAACCATAACTCAGCCATAGCGTATGCTTAACTCAGCCGTAAATTGATTATAACTCAGCCGTAATGTATGCATAACTCAGTCGTAAAGTATACATAACTCAGTTGTAACGTATCTGAATGGTATAAGTCAGCCGTAACGTTCCTATAAGTCAGTCGTCAAATTTAATTTGTTTCGTGACGTTTCGTATTTTAGGCGGGAGCAAAATCATTCCTTCAATTCTGAACACAATATTAAAACTTTAATCTTTTCTTAAATTTGAACCTCAAACCCTAAACTATAGAACTATAAATTATAAAAATTCTAAAGTTTATCTTTTGAACATTAAATATAATATTTTTATTATTTAATTAAAGTTTAAAGTTTAAGTTTAGAGTTTATGTTTATATTTAGAGTTAAACTCAGCCTTAATGTATGCATAACTCAGCAGTAACGTATGCATAACTAAGCCATAACGTAGGTGTCTGTGATTCAATGTATGAACTAAAGTATCATATTCAGGTAACTCACCATCTAAGTCGTCAAATATATAAAACCGGCTTTCAAATTCATCATCTTCTTTGTCTTCTCTCATTTTCTTACTTTTGTTCAACTCTCTCATTCTCTCTGTTTGACCCTTTCTTCTTCGGTAAGAAGGTGAATCCAATGAGAGAGTGAGTAGCAGGATGTCGGACCACCATACATGACAAGGGAGGAAAGGAAGCTTCTTCTCTAACCGACCATCATCGAAGATGACTACGACTGCAGTAGATATGTGGGAACCGAAATTCACACTTGTCGATTTCCGTTAAATAAGGAAACTTAGGAAAACCCTAATTTTCCAGAGAAACCGGATCTCTGCGAAAGCCAACGACAAGTAACCAAATAAATGCGGAAAAATATAAAAAACATAATAAAACGAATTTATAAAGAAAGTCGATCTTATTTCCGATTCACCTAAGAGCGTTGCGATCATTACAAGGAATTACAAAGGCTTTCGCCGCAGAGGCCATCAGCGAGTTACAAACATAAAACCCTAGATCTAGTCGAGTCGCAGCTTCATAACGAAAAACGGAAAAAGATAGGAAAAAAGGTTTGAATGATTTCGGACTGAACCTTATGAAAGGCTGCCTCAGTACCCCTTTCGGGGATCAAGTCGAACGTAGTTCAGTTGATTGAGCTGGACAAGAGATCGAACTGCCTGGGCGAGTTCGTCTAGTGATTGAGCGCCAGTCATAGAAACCGAACTTGTCGAGAAAAAGCCTAAGTTTCTAAGTGCGGAAAATTCTAAGTCTAGAAAAGTTGTAAAAGTCTCAGATGAGAGCTCTGGATTTCGTCCCCCTCTTCTGCCCTACGACTCTGGTTTATATACTCCTTGCCTTGACGGTTCGATCTTTCCATTTTGCCGGATTTTAGTATTTCGGGAATCTTCCATTTTTCTCGATCCTTCCTCTTCTTCCGCGAAAATCTTCTATTTATCTTCAAACTTGCCTTTATTTTCCTTCTGCGAATAAACCGTCAAAAAGTTATCAAATCTGCGGGTTAGATTCCATTGAAATCGCGAGATGGTTTTTTATCGCGTTTTAGGTCCTTCCGGGCCGTTTTCCGATAAAAACCGTTTTCCGACTTTTTACGGGATCGTTTCCTGTTCTAACGTCGTTTTTAATAAATTACTCGAGTTAATCGCAAGGTTTTACGATTTACTCGACTTTTTATTAAAAACACGTTTTTTACGACTTACTCGGCGTTTTTTTTATTAAAAACACGTTTTTTTACGACTTACTCGGCGTTTTTTATTAAAAAACGCGTTTTTATGATTTTAACGAGAAATCTCAATTAAATCGTATAGTTTAGGCAATGTTCGGTGTTTCGTTTAACCGTTTCCGTTTTATACGATTTCCTCGAGTTCTTTCCGAGAAAGCGAAGTTTTACGGTTTTTATCGTAAAACTCGAACGGTAAGTCGGATCGAGATGGAACGGGAGATGTTTTAGCCGTAGTTTAGAATGTGATCGTGTCGAAAGACGTAAGTTTTGAATC